AGTGGAATGGAGAGGGCTGGAAGTGGAGTAAAATGGAAATGAGTGGAACGGAGAGTGGTTGAAGCGGAGTGGAATGGAACGGAACAAAACGGAACGGAACGGAGCGGAGCGGTGAGGCGCGGGACGGTGCGGTGCGGTGCGGCGGTGGCGGCACACCCACTTGTAGACGACGTTGTCCGGGTAGTTGGTGTAGCCGACGGCGTTGGCGCCGCGCAGCAGCATCTGGAAGGGCACGTTGGGCAGCAGGCGGCGCATGAACTCCAGCCGCTCCCAGGGGCACTCGTGCAGGAAGCGCAGCGCCACGTCGAAGGTGGCGCCGCCCCAGTTCTCCAGGGCGAACAGCCCGGAGAAGTGGTGCGCCACGTACGGCGACACGCGCAGCAGGTCGTGCGTGCGCACGCGCGTCGCCAGCAGCGACTGGTGCGCGTCCCTGCGCACGCACAAACGCGTAAATAAATACAAAAGGAATTAAGCGCGTAAGTGCGCAAACGCTTAGGGACTCAATTAAGTTGGAGTGTTATGTCCTAGACTTGCATATCAACCGCGTTGTTGATCGAGAAGCCTTGAAGATCGCATTAAAACATTCCGAAACGACGGCAAATTGAAGTGAGTTAATGCTTTAATTTAAACTGTGACCAAAGCCCATGTGCACACAGAGAGGCCATGTGTTCCAGGAACAAATTACCCCGGCTTTTCACGGTTTTCCAGAACATCATTTTAACTTTTCACTGATAAAATTTGTAGAACACTTCATATTTTTGAAAAATATAAAAGGCTGGTTCTATGTTATCAGCTCCATTATTTCACTATAAGATACAAATTAAAAATAATATTCAACTTAAATATCGAATCACTATTTGTGGCTATAAAAATTAAGAGTAACGTTTAGTTACGAGTATATAACATCTCAAAACTTTCCCTGACTCAAGTTCATTCTACAAATTTCCTGATTCTTTCCCCGACTAACGAAAAATTCCCTGATTTTTCACCATCTTTACCAGAACAACGTAACAATGTTCTCTGTTTTTCACGTTTTCCAGAAAGGGACCACACTGTCCAAAACATTGCTAAAACAAAAGACACCTGGGTCTGGTTGGAGTGGCGAGATCGTTAAGGCAGTAGCGCCGTAGCGATCTCGGCCCGAAGGATCTCGTGTTCGAGTGACGCCTCGGGCATGGGTGTATTTGTGTTCGTCTTCTCACCGCCAATCATCACCGTATCACGTCCTCTCCACAGTGACCATACCGTTAAACGCAACAGCGGTCGCTAAACACCTAGATGTCGTTGCGGCCTTAAATAACAAAATCACCTGTAGGTAGTGTCCATGAGCAGGAGTCCCTTGTTCTGTCGGACGGCCTTGGCGAAGCCCTCGGGCCCTTCCTGCAGCA